CGTTTTAACGAATATTTAGCGTTATAGCAGTTTGTATCAAGTATATTATAATAAAATATCAGATTCATTTTTTTATTCGATTATAAGCATATCGGGATTTAGCTGAAGGTGCTGTGCATATTCACATGCATGTAAATCAGTTTGTAGATCTCTGGAGTTTTCCCGATATGTCATAATTCGGTTAAATTAGTTCTGAGATAATATAATGGCTAAATTATTCTCAGATTCATGACGTATATCATATCACAGGAATTACCCTGGCTCCTTAACAGTTCCATGACACTCTCCAGGAACTATCATGGCGCTGAGATGTTTCTTAAGTCACGATTCTCAAATCACAGGATGATTGACTAATCAGATTCTGTGTAGCACCTAAGCCACCATCAGAAAACTGCTAGCTGAATTTCTTATTATTCCGATGAACACACACGATTAAAAAAATCAAAATCCACATCAGGCGAAAATTTTATTATATTCAATAATATAGATAATTCACCTATTACTATAATTGATATAAAATAAATATATTTGCGGACTTGCATGGGAGGAAGGTTCTAAAGAAATATATATACCAGATCTAAGCCTATTCTTTGGGCCTGCTAGATTTGAAAACAAGTGCTATTTTTTCCATCTATAATGCTAATACTAAAATTCCCATCCACATATTCCGCTACCAGATTTCCAAAAAAAAAAAAAAAAATTGTCCAACTATTCCCACCAAGACAGACCATTTCTATAGCTATTCAATTACTCTCACCAAAGTCTCCAAGAGTATTCCTGAAAAAAAATTCGAGTAAGTATTCTGCAAGTAGTAGAACCGAAAATAAGACCTCCCGTTTTTCTTACCTTTATACTTCGTGGTAAGTTTAAAATTTTATTAGAATTTTCGTTTGGTTTTTCGTTTGATTTAAGCAGAGGGGATAAAAAGATCAACTGATGAAACTTCTCCTTTTTATATGTTTTGTAGCGATATACACCGTGTGATATTGGAATTGGCAAGTTTGATCACATCACGAAAATCTGGATCAACGGCCCTTCAAGGTATGTAAAGTTAGTATTAGTATTATTATTTACGTGCTTCGATTTCATACATAAACGCTAATCCACCCCCTTTCAATCATAGATTTCAGAAGATAATCAGAAAGCAGAACCTATAATCTTTGATTTATGGTATTTTGGCATTGTTATTTGGTTATTTTTTCTGGTTTCGAAAGTTTATGTGAAAAAGCGGGCGAATTCCTCTCGATCGTCACGGGGTACTAGAATATATGATGTAAGAGCGGAAAATACTCCCCGAACCGATCTACCAATTATCCGCATCAAGGTCGTAGCATAGCGTTTTTTTCCCGCAAATGCCAGTCCAAATGCACACGATCCGGAATTAATCCTCTATTGAATCGCTACGTAAGTATGATCGCATCATGAAAATCCGGTCAATTGAAATTCCCCGCTTTTCCTATAAAAACTGGAATGATTAGCAATTTATAATTATAAACCCCTCTTGTACTTTGTTAGATTAATTCCGCAATGAATTAATAATGACCTATCATCCTGAATTTCAACTGAATGGCAAACCGATCATTGGATTGGCGAGATCTATGCTAGAAATTTCGAGAAAGAAAAATATTTGCTACGGCTATGATATGGAAATATGATGAAGCAAATTCGGGAAGTATTTTCCGATAACTGCACGAATTTCCTTACTTTTCGTCTTCGATTAAGATGCCGTGCCGAAAAAATAAAATTATTTTGCTGGGTATTTTTGCAAAGCATCTATCCTTTTGTTCTTTGGTTTCGAATGAGATTTCATCCGTTTCTCCTTCGTAGGGAGCGGGACTCTGGCGAGAAGACGAGGTAATTATGACATCATAATAGAAATCCGGTCAATTAATATCACCGCTTTACCTATCAACAGAAATGATTTGTATAAAATTGCGGAAATTATTAGTTAAAATCCATTATACAACGATAAGTAATGAAAATCGAGATCTCAGCTGAAAGGAAAATACAATTAACAGATTAACGGATAACGGATTACCATAAGCAAGAGAAATGATTTTTGTGCAATAAAAGTATTTCTTTATTAAAATTGCACCAATGACCGTAATTTCAGAAAAGGCATAAAAAGATAAAATTAATATGTGCGTAAAATAAAATTCCTAACATCCAACTTTATTCACTGCAAACTTTATTATGTTTCGATAATAAAAAACAAATTTGCAAACTAAAACTATGTAATAATAAAAAAAAAAATCGCAATTTGCCACCTATTTTTGATGAAAAAACAAATAACCGTATAACTCCGGTATACACAAAAAATAAGACCAATTTAGAATATTTCCATTAAAAATTTTATTAAATTGTCGTAATCAGCGTCTCCAGCCGTTTTGAGTATGTTCATCCACATTGATGACCGTGCATTATCCCTCCAAAATTCCTTGATTATCTTTGCACCCTCCTTGATGTCATTTTCTCCAAATGGAAGGCGCTTCAACGACGGTCGACAAAGCAGTAAATAAAAAGATCGTACCACTGAGATTAACTCGATGCTAGGAGTATATGTGATTTCCTTTCCATCAATGACCTTCTGTAGCGCATTATCCGGCAATGTTTCCAAAGATCCAGCAAAAGCAGTTGATTGATTAGCTTTCACCGCAAATCCCCAATCCGCTATACGAACGTTACCATCCTGATCTCTTAACAGATTCCATTTCCGAAAATCGCGATGTATTATATTCATATCGTGTACCTTTTTCAAGGTTCCAATAATGTGCGGTATATCCTCTTTTCTCCAATTTCTGAATTGTTTGCACAGAGGAGACAAGACGATAAATGTCGGACTTTTGTCACCAGAATTAGAATCTTCATCAAAATGAAATATCAGGATTTTGAGAAGGGTACTTGAATTCAGGCAAGCTAATTTTTGCATTACATCCACTTCCAGTTGAAAGCATTGAAGGAATTGGGCATCTTTTAATACCTTGACGGCTACCTCATTACCATTATAAATGCCTTCGTATACAACGGCTGTTCTTCCTACTCCAATTGATCTTATTAACTTAATTTCCTCTCCTTTATGATATACATGTGATGCCACCCAACCAAGTGTTGCTGGTTTTTGCGACAGCAGTGTAACTAACTGCTTCCATCCTTCAGCTGGTACACCATCATCTGATTCCAATTTTGCGAGTCGTGTATATTTATATTGAAATCTATCATCAATAACTTTGCTAACTTGAATTATCATGAGCACACGGCAATCTGTAAGAAGAACGTAAACATACGCTCGACGTGGTTGGAGCTGAAGAAGTTTCTCGCCAAATGATGTTGCATGGCCAACATCTGCATCTGAGAATTTCCCATGTTGTGCGGTGATCACTCTGATCTCGCCAACAATTACAACGTTAAGAGGATCAAGTGGGTGTTGTTCGTCCAAAATGACAAAATCCGGTTTCCGTGTATCCAAAAGTGCAAAGTTGTGCACATCAAGGACAGCATATTGTATTTCATCAAATGATCTTGTAAGAACAGTGCATTCATCGATAAAATGCTTTTGCACAAAATTTTTTCCTCTCTGAGCTTCTGGAATGAATTTCTTCTTAAACAAACCAGTCTTATTCCTTTTCGCCAAATTCAAACTTGTAATAGTAAATGGAAGCGTGAATTCTTCACCTAACTGATGAACAATCTTTCCCTTGTGCGTTTCGGTATGGGTTGCTAAAAAATAAAGCGATACCTTAGCGCTAGTATTAAAATCTTACAATCTAACTTGACATCTTACCTGGGCATGAAAACCATCCTGGAACAGATAAATCAAAAATTTTGATTTTCTTAAGTCTATCGTCCAGAATCTTTGTGATCTCGTGTGTAATCTCGGAATACGGGCGTTTCATAATACCGGAATCTCCTAATGAACGGATGGATACTAGTCAGAATTTCCTATTCCTACTGTGATTATTTCTCAAACAGTATTATCGAGAAAAGCAATGTAGGTATATTCGAACGCAGTCGTGGTGCTTACCCTGTTCTAAAATAACGTGAATGAGATTTTTGGGCGGTTTGATGATAAGAAGCAGGAAAGAAAAGCACAAGATTAAGTATTTGGTATTATATGATTATATAACAAACAGGCAAATCATAGGAACGAGTAATAAATACTACGAAAATAACTGACTAGAAAGACGTTCGTTGAATAACACGCGAGGCGTACAAACGTTAAACTATTTTATGATAGAACTTACTTTGGCTATTTAACCCCTCGATCACACTTGCAAGTTTTCTAGCATTTCCAACGGTTAGAAAGTTATTAAGCTGTTCATAAGTCAGATCGACAAAGGCAAGACCATCAACTTCTTGTTGACGAAGAGTTGGAATTACACTCGCGCCGAGGTTCAAGTTCTTTCTTTCTAAAAAAGTGACAAGTTGTTCCGTATCATATCCTTTCACATTTTCGAACGAAGGATTATTAGAAGTGCTTGTAGAAATGGACATTATTTATTTTTATTGGCTTTAAAACAATATATCGTGGAAAAATTGCACAAATCAGTCAGTCGATCAATATCAATTTTTTCACATACTGCACTTATGATTACTTTATTAACTACACTAGACTTCCGAAATAAATTATCCCACCCATATCTATAGAATTTTTGACTAATTATATATCTCCCACCCACACAGACTATGTAAAATAACATTCCCCGCAAGAGAACTTTCTTGATATTGAGTAATTTCGAAACTATAGCACAAATTCGGAGATTAGTAACTGTGGTAAAAAAATAAGCAATGCAGTATTTAGCAAAGCGCTTTTTGACCCAATTCATACTTACTGTTATGGTTCATAATATTCCATTCCATCTTGCTTAATGCGTTATAATAAAATGTTTTGATTTTTTTATTGCCAGGTGTACGATACTGTGTCAAACTCCAAAAATTCGGCATGATTTCATTAGCAGTTGATATACTGCGTCAAATCCCTGCCCATTCGTGATCAGATAATTCATTATTTAATGCCAATATCGATTTTTCGAGTTTGGCAACGTGATTTTTCTGGGGTCGGAGTTGGAGGGAGATATTTGTGTAAAAATAATATGACTCCTATAAAGATTATATACATTATAGCATTTCCTGAAAAAATGCCTTGGAGTACCTCTATTATTAGGACATCCTGGGTTAGCATCTCATAAATTATAATTACGATGCTGAAGAGTACGATCAAAATCATATCAGAGTTTGAAAGCATTTTGTGTAGATGAGAGATTGGTTTGAGAGATTGGTTTGAATTAGATTTGATGAAGTTTTTGAGGTATATGCAAAACTTTATTTTCCGATTTGCAATATTTATGATTGATTATGCTTAAAAGCTTTTTGGCTTATTTGGAGTAGGCAGAGGCTCTGATTCTTTTATTGTTTATTTAGAAGTGCGAAAGTATTTCAATAGTTTTATGCTCAAAAAAATTGTTTTGGAGCAGAGTACTTGTTAGAGTATTTGGAGGATTGATTGAATTATGATTTTGCAAAATTAATATATTACTTTTTTATTCGATTCTCTTATCAGACACCACCACCATATCCAGTATTTTTATAAATAAAATTTCTCTGCAGTTCATCGCTACGATCGTCGTAAAACATGAAGGGTCCTGGAACAAATATGGCAATCCTATCTATTAATTTGCTGATCCCGATTCCGAAATTAAGCTGTATTAACATGCAGGCCTCTAATCAATCAATAAAGTCAAAAAATATTAGCATCCTCCTCGGTCAATGCTTTCAGGCAAAAAGTTTACCATTATTTTTTCTCACAGAAGCAAGGCTTCAAGGGAAATTATATAAAAGCCCGATTTCCCGTAACGAATTTGAACGTGAATATCTCGACATCTACCAGCCCAATTATGATGAAAATTGCACGACTGGATTCGGCAGGTCCTGGACATTTACCAAATCAAATTTCGTGAAATTCTGATCACTGGTTGCGTAGTTAATCAGATAATCGTAAGGTCAATTATTTTAGATATTATCACGAAAGATCTTGGAGAGGACCACATTGCCAAAGTGGCGTGTGAAATGTTGGTGACCTGGCAACCTACAAAATACTAGATTTCGGTTCTGGGAACCTAAAGGAGGTGAGAAATTGATAGGTTGTTATGTAAGAATTCATAGCTACCCAGTGAATCCCAAAATGTATTATTAGCACTATATGAGAATTGAAACTTCAACCGCATACGAAACGCGGTCCAGATATTGTAGAAATCCCAAACCAGTTCGACCAGATGCAGGGCACTGAGAGCTTCAAAACAAGCCAAGGTGTGTAGTATTTAGATCACAGGAAGCCGGAATAGCCTTTACAGTTGGTAAATTTTACTGTGCCACATCATGGATTAGAAGTTAATTAACAAATCGTAGATCGATTTTGCGAAACGTAATACTGCGGCCAAAATGTGGGCAAAACTTTATTAAATGCTTTATGATAAAATCCAAACAGTAAATTATTTTACAGTACACTGCATTTAATTTCTTTAGCTATAATTAATGTAATAATTAATACATGTAAATCAAATAGAAGCTTGACCTTGGCCCTTTGGAGTGAAATAGGTTGGCCTAATAAACTTTGTTTTAAAATGCTTTGCTTTGACTTTGGATTCCAAATTGTTACGAAATATCTTGTTATAAGCATGATTGTATTTTTTTGGATCAGGAAAGAGATTTGCCTTACGAACTACATTTTCCTAAAAAAAACAAAAAGGTGTCATTATACCAAAAATAAAAATGAATCCTTACTTTAAAGAAATATAATGCTTCAAGTGCGTTTCGGAGGCAATTAATGTTCGATAGTTGCGCAGGAAATCTAAAGTGAGGTCCTTGAAGGCCAAAGTAAAGGCCATTGTCAAGAAGGTCAACTCCAATTATCTGACCCTCTAGGCCTTTATGTGACGATAAATATTAACCACATATAACGATACACAACATAATCAATGTGAAGGACCTTACCAGCAAATTGTAATCCAAGGATTGCCGAATCTTTCACTGTCTCATCCGATAGGTCTTCTTTCAGAAATTTGTCAAGAACACCTTTTTCTGTTCTCAGACATTTTGAGCGGTCACGAATAGCCTTGGCACGTGTTGGAGCCTTTGCGCACTCCGTATGACTTAGCTCTATCTCTCTACATTTGTGAACAATTCTAAGGTCAATCTTCCGTCGCCTCTCGGAAACAGCAGACACGGTTTCTCCCCTATATTGCACACATATACTATTAAGTCATTACTCGTTAGTGTAGATGACAATAATAGAGATGATCTTACCAACGGAGATTCAAAATATCCAAGACGTCATTGAAAACGTCGTTCAGAATCGGTGCTATAATATTTATCACATACTCCATTTCACTAAGATTCTTTAATTTTCCGGTTTCCTCGATAAACAAGTATGGATTATCAAGGAATTTGTCGATCCTAGCAACAAATTTAACAACATTAGTATTAGTCAGTTAAATATTGTGAATTACATAATTAAAAAAAAACTAAGCTCAACATCTTACACATGAAAATACACGGTTGCGATTTGTTGAACTATTGGAGTATTTTTCTTAGTTCTTATTTTAAACAAGTACTCCGTGCATCAACATAGTGATACAGCCCACACATCTGAGAATGAATAAATGGATTAAGCAATGATAGTCATATGTGCCAAAAGTCAATAAGCACTTACTTCTTCAACCGTATCAACAATCGTTTTAGTTTCGCCTTCAAAAAAATTGGGGGTCATGTTGACTTTATTGTACACTTTTTCTTGAATATCATCCCATTCACTCCCGAACCAGTTATACATTCCGTTATGAAATTCTGAGGACAAATCTATTATTGACGAAAACCCCAAACTGTATTTACGGTATATTGGTCACGTTAGCAACTTTTCCTTGGTGTACTATATTAATAATACAAATTCATACCGAATAACACTCATGATGCATGCTGTTCGTTCTTTCTTGCTTTTAACTGAGATCGATTTCACTAATTCGGCAGTGTTTTTTGTAAGTTCATCAATAATCTTACGGCCATCTTTCAACGTCCAGTCAGTCTCATTATGAGTTACACCCACATACTCATCAAAAGAGATTGTTTCGGGGTTTTTAATGATTTCATCATATGAATCGTCCTCGCTTTCACTATCAACAAATTCTTCATTGTTATTTTCTTCATTATCCGATCCCAACGGATTTGAAGGCTCAATCCTAATATCTCGCTCGTCATTATTGCTATCTTCTTCATTATCCGATCCCCATGGGTTAAAAGGCTTAATCCTAATGTCCTGTTTATACAAATCCTAATATGCAAGTTGAAATAAATGTATTAATCTGATAATTTCGTAATGTTTGTTGATTTATTATATACCTGTCTCGGTCTACGTTGACGTTTATATGAATGATAATATTCGCTTGTGCGAATTTGGGAAGGCGGAGTAACAGAATCGAAATAATCATCTATTGTTCGTTTTGAGACTTTATTAATGTCCTAAAATTAAAGTCGCAGTTTATTAGGAACAAGATCGCAAAATAAAATTATAAATAAAAAACATGCACCTGTATTTCGGTTGATCCAGTGAAATCTCCACCATATATATTTCCGTTTATAGTTCCACTGATGCCTGCAATTGTCACCTGCCTACACGAGCGTTTCTCCTCCCACTCTTTCGCTTTTTTGCGGTCTGGTTGGGAATTCTAGCATGGAAGATTTATAATTAGTATTATTATTCTTTGACTAACTAACGTGCCCAATTCAGATTTCCCATCCCACCCGAACATCATCGCAACCAAGTAGGCCACCTGTGCCCCAGTGGGTCCAGTGCTGGATCAGCGAGTAGCCTTTGGCACAGATAACTAAGTAATCATCTGTGCGCCAGCACCAGTTTCGTGGCTCAGCGAATAGCCTTGAATGACAGGCGACCGAGTAGGCCTCCAGTCACGCCACTTTATTTCAAGCTATCTTCCCAATAAAAATAAAAAAAAAACTTGCCCCTTTGTATCTATCAAGAAGAACCCGTGCACTTTCCTGCCTGCTACCTTGTTCAGAGTCAGCGATTGCGCCGAGGGTTTTTATGTAAAAATCTATTTTTCGGTCGAACGGCTCCAAATCACACTCATTCAGAAAGTCAAGAATGCTCCAACTTTCAGGTTTTCGGTTGAAATATTCGGACATAATTAATAATAGGTGTGGGATGACTGCTCGTATATTGTGAAAAATCACTATAAATCAATGTATAATCACACAGGTTTGACTCTGATTGAGGCTGAACTTTTAGTCACGTGTGCGTACAATTTGTAACACTCCCGAATTAATACAGAAAAAATTTTTCGATGAAACTTTTATTCTTAATTTTTTAATCAGAAAATGCTAGAGAAGCGAATGAAATATATGATGGGAGGGAGTACGCGGATCCTAGGCCATTTAATGCGAATCCCAGCATCAAGTTATTTCTTTGCTCTCTCATACCTTCGAAAAAATATCTACAGCTAATTTGTTTCTATTGCTAGATTCTCTACACTATATTTTCGAAATTAATTACCCCATCCAAATCTACAGAATTTTATACATCTATATCGCTACACCCGCACAGACTATTTAAGATTATTCCCCGCAAGAGAAATTTACTGAGGTAGAGAAATTTCGAATCTATAGCATAAATTCGGGAGGTTAGCAACTGAAGTAAAAAATAATTCTTCCAATTCACACTTACTGATATACTTCATTTTCACAATATTCCATTCTGCCTTGTATACAAGGAATTGATTGCGATATCATCGGAATGATACTGCGCAAAGTTTCAAAGAATTCAGCACGTGAAGATGCTTATATAAGATAAATTTTTTGCATGTGATGAGATTCATGTGAGTAATTTCACTGCGTCTATTGTACGCGTGATGATGTTCAGTGATTTTCTCAGCGAAGATCAAAATGCCGAGACGAGTACGTCCTGTTTATTTCTTTTTCCTCTTATAATCGGAAAAAAATACATGGATAATATCGTATCCCTTCCTAATTTAGAAAAAAAAATGTTATTTCCAGAGGTCTATGGAAGGAGAGACGGGATTTTATTTTTTATTATATTGATTAGCAGTTTGGATTGATGATGCAAAGTAAGTTTGAATTTTGTTTTATTTTTTGTTTTTCTTGTGCAAGGCGGATAAAAGGGTTCACTAACCGGAACATCACCTTTTTATATAATTTGCAGGATCGATTTTGGAATACACTTTTAGGGGAGATTACGTTAATATGATCGCATCACGAAAATCTGATCAACGGATTCATAATAAAAACTTTGACGCTACCCATATACAAAGATCAACAAGGAGATCTTCTTTGTTGTGAACTTTGAGAAAATGTGGGAAATTTCGAGAATAAATTACATGCAATTACTTAGGTCTCACTTTTTTTATTCACCATATATCTCTATATCCCACGAAAAATATTCTTGATACAATTTATAGCCTTTTCGGCTGAATTCTTTATTAACGTAGTAAATAAATTACATGATTTGGCTCGTAACTGTGATACATGACGGCCGAAAGGCGCTTTGCTAAATTTTCTATACTTAAATATACAGTACATGATTATTGACTACGTCGCTGACACTTCTGGTCTATGTTAAAACGTTACTACATTCATCAGGCAAGATTTTTTTTCACATGATTATTTCGGATGATCGTTAATTTGAAATTTACTAGCATGTAAATATACGAAAAAAAATGAATTAATATAAGGTTATTGATTATAGAAGATCGAAACTTTTGGATGACAGACAAACAAACTCCTTAATTTTTCGTATCCTTTCTGGAATAACGATTTCAGGTTTTTCGTCGTACCATACTTCAAGGAGGGAAATTCCATTATCTTGACATATGCATCGTTTTTGCCGATCACGATTAACGATGTCTTCGAGTTTTTTGATATCTTTATACCAGCTGGTGCTATGAAACCGATGCTGAGCCCCTTGTACCTCCAATGCAATTCGATATTTTTGAAAGAAAGCATCAAGCTCTAATCCATTCAAAAAAGGAGGACGATATTCAATCATAGGTTTTTCATTAAGAATTTCCTTAGCTATCTGGATGCATCTAGTCTGGTATTTGCGGTTTTTCTTAGATTCTGATTCTTTTTCAAGCTCATCGAAATGTTGCTCTAACTTCTCAATTCTACTCCTGAGCTCAGCATTTTCAGCATCACGCCTCTCATTATATTCCTCATTCGATCTTAGAATCTCCGCATTCCTGCGTTTAAGTTCAGCTATTTCAGCATCAGTCACTGAGAGCTTGTTTCTAAGATAGGGAATTTCAGCATTTTCAGCTTCAAGCTCAATAATCCGTTGTCTCAATAAATCTATTTCAGATTGCATTGCCTATATTGAAACGATAATAATTTTTTATACCCTATATGTTAGTATTCAAAATCGGTAAAATACCCCTTCGATCAAAGATCCTTTTTTCTCATAAATTCAGCTCGAAAAATGAAAAGCTATCTCGATAAGCTAATAGGGTAAGCAAGCAGGGTTAGCTATTTTCTGCAATGCCAAAGGTCGAAAAAAATAAGACACAATCTGTGGCTCAGTAAAAAATCTTTCGAGCCGAAGATTACTATTCCGGAATGATGATCTGTATTCTGGACGAGCCGGCTTGATTTTCTACATTAAATATATTACTTTATTATAGCAATCATGACAAATAATAGCGAAAAGCTTGCTCAGTTTTATGGAGTGCTTTTATATAAGAAGAAGGATATAGTAGCTATTCAGAAAAAACTCGGTATTGATAGCAATGCAAATAAATTAGTAGTTCCTTCAGATTCCGAGCTCATAGGGAAAACACTTGCTGATTCATATGAGCTGTTATTAGAATTAGTAGGGGGGGTTAATGCTGATACAGGAGAATCTCAACATTGATAGTAATTCTGTTCTAGAAGTGGAATATCAAAGTAATAATGCTTCCACAGATATTTCATTAAAGAAGATATTTAATTTGCTTATGTATTTAGAAGAGGATATAATAGCAATTCAGGA